GTCCACCGATTGTTTACCAAACCTCTCTGAAATCAGTCGACCTCTTCAGATTAGCACACTAGATCAGTGTTGAATGTCAGTTAAAGGGGTCTTGTCGGTTGGTGTGGTTGCCCAGATTCTATGGTTGATGGGTTGGAGGAATTTCAAATTATTTCTGATCCTTAATTTTTCAGTTCAAGGTGCTTCGACTGATGAGTTATCTTGGGTGCCGTTGGTGGATTTCAGTAGTTCGTGTGGGCTTGTGAGTGCTACGACGATTAATTTGGGAAGGGAATGGGGCAAAGGTGGGTGAGATTAAGTGCATCGAGATCTTAGCTACTGCTGCTGATGATGACTGTTCTTCATCACTGTCCGACCAAGCTAAAACCGTCCTCCACACGCTTGCCGGTTTTACGCCTCCTATTCTGTTTACGCTGGGATGCTTAGTGATTTCCACAGCCTTGACCGTCGGTGTCTGTGGTGTGGACCGTAGGCTCCGCCTCAAAACTTCGACATTTTCCAGATTCGTTTTGTCTTTCATGTCCGGTGCATATTCCGCCATTGCTGAGAATTTCAGTAACACACAAAAGTTATCTGCATTTCTCGACGGCCTGGTTATTTTTCCCCTGTGCTCTCCGATTCCCTCGCCGTAGTTCCTAGCTAGACATTGGTGCAGTCGTTGCGGTTAATTTTGTAGACACGGACCCTGGCAGTGTTTGCCGGAAGGTGATACTCCAACTGCAGCACTGTCCATCTGAAACGATGTCTGCAAATTGTTTCGCGATTAAGGTAATTTATTGCAGATCAAATGGAGGAACCCGTGTTTAAAGTGTTAAACTCAGATAAATGATTTGCTGAAAAATCTTCGACAACCTTGTGGGTAGTTTCCTTTATGAAAATATCTCGAATATCGTGTCGGCTGAAGCATGAGACGGCCTCTGATTGATACGCAAATGAGAGTCGGGAGGTGCTTGCAAGCTTGTGCACAGAGGCGCGTCACCTTAATTTGGTACTATGTCATGGTGTAATGTGACAGTATCACCCACAGACATCTCAATTCTTCTTTCATCTGCACATTCGATGAACGATCGGATAGCACACCTTAGGGATCAAATTCCACAGAACTAAGGCTTATTCTGATACTTTCAATTGAGGATTCGTCCGGTCAGTAAGGCCAGTCTATGTTGAAAAGCCGAAAAACACTACAGAAATGATTCATCCTCAGCAGTATGCATCTCACGAAACTCAGAATGTCTCGACCCCGTGACACTCCAGCCAATGGTTGAAAACAGTTTCTTTTGGCCAGGAGCGATTGAAAAACAGAGTGATTGGTTCTAACTTGGACAGAACATAGTACCACTCATCGTTCAGCCACGAAAATCACATTCTGTGTTCAGGTATTGAGTGGCGGATCGAGTAAACGTTTTTCAGAAGGAAGTTTAACTCATCTTGTGAATTTGTTCTTCCTCTGAGCTACCCACGGAATACCGGTGGTACGGATATTTGATAATTCTCAATAACGGTTTTATCCTGTCAGCGAAACAAATCCAATCTGTACACAAAGGCCTAGAAGTACCATACAGGTGTTTCATCCTTGTTGATAGTCCCCAGTAGTGCGCACCTCTCGAAACCCAGTGAGCTTCAAACACGGTACACTGTTAAGTCTCCTCACACCACTGCAAGTATACAGTTAGCTCAGAGAAAGACTAACTTCACAAGATGGGCGAACCTTCCGACTGAGAAGTCGTCACTTGAGAAGCCAGTCAATACGTGACTACGCGATGGGGTTTTCGTGATTGAAGGATGAGTGGCACCATGTCCCGTCTAAGTTAGAGCTAATCACAGTGCTGATTTGTAGCTCGTGACCAGACGGGTAAGCGTTTGATCACTAGCCGGAATGTCACCGATTCGAAACTCACCGAGGATTGGTGAAGTCTGCATTGTTGATGATTCCCAACAAGGATGGAACTGCTATACAGTGATTCTCGACTTTTAAGCATAGCTTGACACATCACCATCGACTTACAATGATGTTTTAGCCGACATTGAGTACGCAGAAGACAGTTTTTCATTCTTCGAAATGCTAGTAATGGTGATATTTTGAAGAGAAGTGTAGGTTTTCGGAAAATCCTGCCATATTTAGAGATTACTTAGAGGGCTGATAAAAACATACCTTACTTCCCAGGAAACAGGGGGGTTACTTGATACTTCCGGTATTCATTCACCTGCAAAATGTTAGGGCATTTATACAGCTACGCTGTGCGCCCAAAACCTCTCTTATGTAGTTCATATGGGACTTTGTTGACCGGATAAAATCTGCTGTTACTTTAGCGGTCATTTTCTGGTCAATATGCTGCCACTCGGTGACATACTGAAGATCTACTCTCTTCAAACACGTGATCAGTCAATGCGTCCATGCCCCCCCCCAACCTAGAACAACCATTAAGACAAATCTTTGAAAGACTTTGGCTTCAAAACACAAGAGTCCTTCAATCAAGTCACGTGTTCCCAACGGCTTGTGATCTAAATTCACATTCAGCAATTGGCCGAGGAAAGGTGATCCTGTCGAGGATCAAACTCTGTCCACAAAATGCTTGCTGTCTGTTGCCACGAAACTGGCCACAAATAGCACAGGTCGGGGCAAGTGGAAATGTAAGTAATACGCAGTTCATAAGAAAGTACTTCGAAATGTGTGGTTTAGGGAGCGCTAGGAAATGGTGCATCTGGTATGGATGAATGTAATGAATAGTGCCTGATTCATCTAGAGCATACTACATTGGTGCTCATAAGTTAAATGAACAAAGTTCTTGGTACTGGTCCCCTTGAAGAACTGCAGGCGACGCAGTCAGCTGTCGCATTTCCACCAATGTCAGTTGATCATCCGCCTTCGAATATTTTTGTGCTCGGGACCATTAAGATAGGGAGATTCCAGGAACACACTGTGCAATGTTAGCTCCACCGAGTACTACCACATAAATAAATTTTAAAAAATTTGACCCACTCAGAAAGTATGATTCAGGTCTATGAATAAATGTCTCGGGGTTTTGTGGGGTAGACAATATTATCAGAGGAAGAAAAGCTATGGAAGAAACCACAGAAGCCGTTGTTAAATCTTTGTTCAATCCAAGATACTGTTCTTTACTTTAGAACAAAATATACGTAAATTTAAAGGGTCATGAACATATTTTTATTTTCCTATGAGAAAACGGCAGTTGTACTGAAATATTTGGATAGTGGTTATAGCCAAACGGAAAAGGTTCGCGCTAATGGACTCCGGAGGAAGCTCGAAAATATCTTCCAGGAGAACATTCGTAGAAGAGGTGAGATATTGACGAATAGGAGTGATGCTCTATTGATTGCTCCATTCATTATTCTCTTGTTTTGATATTCCAAGTGCTGTAGACATACCCCGATTTGTTACGCTGTGTTGAATTCTGGATTTCTAGTTCGTCTGGTTGTATCGATATACGTGCTGAATTTAATTACCACAGAAATGTATCGTCCCTAATAAAGTATTAAATATTCACAGGCCACACTCAAAGTCGGGCAAATAGCGGGGCAGTTGTAGCCTGTAGTGTAACTTTTGTTCTAACTTGAAATAGTAGATGCCCAAAAGATACTTCCGACTACTGTTCGCCTACTTCTGTTTGTTATGTCCTAGTTGGACTCAACTAGCTTCAGCTCCTGCCTCAAACGACTACTTGCTTCTATCACACGGCGGCAAAGTGTCAACCATAAACACCGCATAATATTCAACCATAAAATTCTAACTTTAACAGTTGTCTTGGAATTTACTTGGTACGGAGGTGTTATCACTAGACCGACTCACTTGCTGCGTCCTCGGTTCGACTGAAGGTAGTTTCACCAATGAAAAACGCAAAACATCCGTTACCCACAAGTCGTTTGACATATAACTGTCACCAGGTATTCCCGTCGCATAGCTTGATATAGTGTGCGCAACTTTTCGCGGCCATATGGAACCTGGTTTTAGTTCCCTTCAATTTTGAGAATACACCCTTATATTATGCTCTATATCGGCCCTCAGGTCAAATAAGTAATCGGCAGTTTAGAAAAATCGGTCAATTGGCGATCACTACAGGAGCACATTGAAGTGCACATATAAACAAATGGACCAGTAGGACGGGACTTATAGACTGCATAGCTATTTTGATTGTCCTATGGGGTTGAACTCTCAGGCTATGGAAATAAGGTCAACTTCTTTTAGGATTTTGGGCGAATTTTAGAAGAACAGTTATTTTAAACGGGAGCCCTTACAGGCACACTCCAAAGACTAGAGTTCGCCTGTGTGTACAACTTAGGACGAGTCTGTCATAGTTATCCATGTATGAAAAGATTATTGAAAATTTACGGGAAAATTTTCGGCCTTCTTCACTAAGGTTAGGCTTCTCTTAGGTACTCTTAGTTTGTGAACTTATTTAGTCTATAACGTAAAAAAAACTTCACCAAGTCCTGTATATAACACAAATAGAGAATTATAAGTCAATCCTAGGAAGACAAACAATTTATTGTGTTTTGCATCATTACAGGATTTTGCCGAAATTATTTCATCAGATTTATCTTGCAAAATCGTTTTTGGGGGATTTTATACGTATATATGAACTCTTTTTAAAGGAATTTTTCTGCACTAAGTCCACGGAAAGGCCAGGAATGATGCAGTTAATTCAATATATTCATTTAGCTTCACAGAATTATTTTTTACATGTAGATTGTTCATTTTGATAATTTTTTTACCTCACAGTGTGAACTCGAAACTGATGGCGATATACAAGTAAAAATATCTAATAAAATTATGGCATAATTGTTCAACAGCTCTTTTTTGACAGTATAAACTTCTCCTAGTTTCGACGTAACAAATAAACTATCATGCCTATCATAGCTGGCATCAAAACTAGTTCATATTTTTTAACGGAAATGAAAGAAAATGGGCCGTCCTAGTGGAAACTGTGATTAATAAACCAGCTGCAACGTAAAACGTGTACAAAAATAATCAAAATATTTACCTTCGAAATATTTTAAGGCATTCGGGTCGACGACTGAGTATTTTCTTAATTGCTGAATTGATGGTCTTTTTGACATCGTGGATGGCTCAACCGATAGAAACGAGGTTCCCGTTGTCTGCTCCAACTCCTTTTGTAGAGAACTATTGGATTTGTGGTCTGTGTTCCGAAAGTCCTTTGATTTTATTCTTTCTGTATTACGTCGTTGACTATCAGAGGTCTTGTCACAACCTGTGAAACCTGCAGGTATATCCGTATTACCTTGCACAGCAGTAAAGCCTGATGGGTCGGGACCGAATTGTGACCGTGCCTTAAGTGTTGACCTCAAAGGACGCCCATGTATCCTTGGTGTAACTTTTGGTTGTGGAGAATTATAGTCCTGGTTGTCACTGACTGGTTCCCCTTGGTTGGGTAACGTAACTTGGGAATACCTCTTAGTTATCGCTGGATAAACAAAACATTCATCCTCAACCTCCGGGGAAGTAGATGTCATGGCTACATAAATCTGATTTGGTGGCCACCATAGAATAAGGTATCTGAGTGTACAATTTTACCTGTGGACAAAACACTCCGTTATGGTAGAAGCCTAAAGCTCCCTACAAAGGCAACCCACACTTGGGCGAATAAAGTATTCCGACCAATGAAAAATCAAGAAATGGTCACATGAGCAAACGACACATGAAGCTGACCTCCAGAAAGCGTGCTAACCCTGTTGTCACAATGATAGGGTTAAACTTACAGTATGTGCCATAAGTTGACAGAGATTATATAAATTTCAATCCCAGGTGATCCCGATGTTGCGTAGTTGCATGGTGACCCGCAGCCTTTGTTGAACACTACCTGCAACCATTAATAGGTGCCTGACTAGTCAGCTCAGCTACCGATAAAATATTTTCACACAAAAATAAAAACTTTAAGGCGTAACACCATGACATTTCCTGTCAATCCCTTTGAACTCGTTTTGTTTTACTGTATCAAACAGCCCCCATTGCTGTTGTGAGTCGCGGACTTTGTGAGCTTCACGCTGGTTGTAAATACTGTAAATAGTTGTAAGTCCTGGCAGTTTCGTCCCTTTCAACCTGAATCCACGATTGAAGTGGTCAACCCTAATGATTTTACCGCTACTTTCTTGGCCCATTCGAAATGATGTGGCCTGCAGTGATTGCGTGCATCTTGGACGGGAATTTTTCTTGTTTTACAAATGAATCTGTATTTTGTGGTTTTTTGACAGATTCCAAATAGTGAGGAGATGAATATACCTAGCTTAAAGCAGCTTTATCCCCGGATATTTGGCTAATGTGTTGAGGGTCGCTGAAACCCTTAATTAGGGGGCGTGTTGTAAGCCAAGAATGTCGATCCGACTGCGGCTGACTCCGCAGTCAGCTAACCAATACATGCCGGATGTGGTATTATATAACTCCAGTCCCTGTTGCCATAACATGGTTTTCCACAGAGTCTCGCTTTAAAATACGAGTGTTTCCTTAGTTTGATCTGCCATAAAGGTCTTATCTAGGCCTTCGCGATACTACGCTCAGTTCAATATCCGAGTATAAGGAGACTATCTGGCGAGACTAGACCAGCGTCACTTTTCGGCGATTGCATAATTCTATGCATTGGCTATTTCTTGATATTCGCTTTCTCAAGTTCATCGTCGTACAACACAATTTGACTACGTAAAGTTTTATTGTCTTTTCACATTGCATGGCCAAGATGTCTCAACCAACGATGTGCCTGTGACGTAGGAACGTGCCGGACCTTTTTAAAAACGATACATTGTGAGGATGCACAAAATATACCAAAAGAATTAAAACTGCAAGTACCACTCTAATGCCGTATATCTTTAGCCGCTCATTCGGTTACTGTGGATCAAAACTCATTCGGCAAGTTGTTATATCTTGCGGCATACCTAGGAAACGACCGCATTCAGAATCTTCCATTGTTTTGATACCGTTGTGTTAGGCCAAAATTTGGTTACTTATATGCGCATTTGGCGCGGAAAACACTTGTTTGACAGACAAATCGACATGCGCATTACCTAAAGAGGCTCCAGCAGCTCATGGTGTTTGACTCGCTCCTAATCAGTACCTTATATCATATTTGAACACTCGTCATCCGATGTCCGTTTTCTGATGCCCTTACAATAGCACACGCGGGCTATGGTTATGCGATAGCGGTTATCAAAGTTCTGAGTATGTATCAGTTCACTTGCTCTCAATGGCCACGATTCACAACCGTACAAAACAGTCCGTACCGTGGTCTGATGTGCACGGCCTTTGAAATTAGGACATATTCCTCTTTTTGGCACAAGTTTCCCAGTTTACCAGAACAGATCTAGGTGATCGTTAATATACATGCCACGGCCTCTGAGTTCACATGGGGCTTCGTTTCAGGCTGTTTTGTGGGATTTTCCGTAGAGTGGTGTGGAACTCAGTGAATGTTTTCCTGGCATCGTTTAATCGTTGAAGTGACGGGGTTGAGCTAGACGCCCATGCTTATAGTTAAGAGTTTGGTCTTTTTGGGATTCGTGCAATACGGGTGTCGAACCTCTGATGCTTCACGACCGTAAGATACTAACGGTTTCAGAGAGGTTTGATAAACAATCGGTGGATTTATCAAACCTTTCTGAAATGATGACTTCCCAATCGATCCCAAACATTTCCCAATTGATAAATACCAATAGTTTGTTTCAATGTAGGATTGTCCACTCAGATCATTCATCATCGACAGCATGACATCAGTTTTTAACACCGACGCTTCACTGCCGTACCAGCGAAGCCATACAAGGTCAAATGTTGGCCATATGTATGCTTCCACCACTCGAAATCTACACGGAAAGCACTTCTCGGCTAACGGTGATTCGTCATGCTCGATGGGTGACTTGACCACCGCCGATTTTGGTGTTTGGAACATTCAGTTGAAATCTTCGTTGCACGGCCGAATATTCGTAGTGGTTCCAGCTGCTACAGCTCTGTTCACCGAGGTGGAGAGCCATGTATCGGAGGAAATAGCCCAAGCAATGCATTGGCAACAAATGGATCAGTTTTTTTCGGCATGGACGTTAGGTAGCTACGCAATGAAGTTGATAGCTTGGATGAAGTGTCGCCACTAACTACGTCTTACAGTCATACCTGTCATCATCCACTGATTTGTCTCGTCATCCGGTTCGCCTCCGTGCAGACAGTAGTTACCAATGCAACTAAGTTCACTGGACCTGCATACTTCATTCCCAAGTCAGTATCTCAACCCTCGTGGCATGGAAACCGAACGCTGAAAAGGAGGTACGGCTGAACGACTATTACTTCGTTTTCACCTCGAAGACCTGAAGACGTTTCGGTCCTGCTGCTCCGGTAGGCCACGTCTCAATCATACGGCACAACAGCCCCTACTGTAGCCTGATACACACGTCCCCTGGGATTCAGGACTATGCTGTTTATGCTACTTTGTCGCCATATGTGTCTCCAATTGGCGAACGTGACCCGAGCCTTGCAGATTCGTGCATTGACCTCATCTATCACACTACAGTCGGAACTAATACAGTTTCCAAGATGCGTAACACGCATGTGACGTGTTCAGTGATTGCATTTACGGAAGCATGTTCTTACACTTTGTGGGTACGAAGTGCATTCCAAAAACACCTGCACTTTCTGTTCTAACACGGAAACAGTGTCATCTACGTATTTCAGAACCACAAAGTTTTTGTCGGCACTTATTTGAACATCGGGATTTCAATGGCCCTCCAGTGTTCATCTCAATATCTCGTCTATCACTAAGTTAAACTAAAATGAAGGGAGTGGGTATCCTTGATGGATTTTTGGAAAGTTCTCCGTATACTCACACGCCCAGAGGTTTGAGAATCACCATCATCAGCTTTAAAAACCGCGTTCTTGTTGTACATTGGTTATACCTGTCACAGTTTCGTTCGCCGATGTTAAGAGGTACGAGAACAGTTATATATTGGAGATAGTAGCCCATATAATTAATCTACCACTATGGTGGTGTCAGCGGAATTTTCATCGGGGAGGTCGGAAGGGGAAACTGTGAACTGTAGGCAACAGCTTGGATGAATGCGCAACACGGTCGCTTGTTCCGTTTTCCAACTCCTGATGTGCCTCACCTCGGGGTCCTCTTTCGAGACAACGAGCCGCGCAACTGAGTTTGCTTGTGACGACTTTCATGCTTCGTTGCCAAGCCATTACTCAGCCTCATCTGAATTGTTCTCACCTGTAGCGTAGTTCTGCAAGAGTTCATCAAGTTCATCATCGACCGTTATGTGGAACACGTAACCAAACCTGTACTATTTCAGTTTGTTTATCTTGGGCGAGTTATTCCTAAGATCACTCGATGTACCTCAGCACTACTGATACGTTCACACCAGACAAGGACAGTGATGGTCAAGTGCTGCAGATTTTCTAACGTGCTAAGCTCACAGCGGTCATGTTTCTGACCTATAGAAAAATGTGGAACACATCGCAGCATCGTAAACTTGACAGGTAAGCTGGTGTGCCTCTGCTACGAATGATATGGGTTCACAAAACATGCTCCGTCCATCCCAATCCGGATAGAAATATCGTCTTTGGCCAGACCACCGGACTGATATAGCAGCCCAGGCGTGCAAAATGGTTCAGCTGCCATACAACCCGAAGGAAGGACGAGGGCTGGGATACCGCCAGGTTGCCCAAGCCTAGACAGGGGAAGCCGAGAGGCAGAGGTCGGGTTCGAACCGCGGACCTTCCGGCCAGTAAATTCGCGCTTCAACCACTTGAGCCATCTTGCCCCAGAGACAGCAACATCACTGCTGACACTGTTGTTCCAATGCCCTGCAACCACAAACTTTATCTAGCCGCAATCGAAGTCTTAGAGTGAAAAGAGTTAGTAATGCAGGGACCTTTTGCCGACTTATCGGAGGCATTACACCTCCAGACGCTCAATCAGACTATCTGGAGAGAAGCTGACAGCACGAACGCTAGTGACGTTGATCGGTCGCCATTTTTCGCAGTATCATGCCAAGGACAGAGGAGTTTGCGAAGACCCCATCTTTCACTTTTCGTATTCTCACACCCTCCTGTCAACTCATACGTCGTCCACCTCGCGGGTTTCGCCATTCTGAAGGAAGCACAGAAAACATTACTGATGTTGGTAGACAGTGTTCCACCGTGCGTAGCACATGTCTGAGCCACCGTGGTTAATGATTTTTTCCGCGAGTGAAGTAAAAAATGCGTTCAGCTGTAGCACCCTTCCGGTGCCTAGCTGCCATGCCAAAGCATGAGGGCTGGGATACTGCCAGATTGCCCAAGCCTAGACAGGGAAGTCGAGTGGCGGAGGTCGGATTCGAACCACGAACCTTCCGGTCAGTAAATTCGCGCTCTAACCACTTGGGCCATCTCGCCCCCCCCCCCGCGACTGAAGTACCTGCTGCACAACCAGATACCGTTTTTCTAATAGCCTGGTTACTAATCCGTTGACAGGGCGAGATGGCTCAGTGGTTAGGGCGCGAATTTACTGACCAGAGGGTCCGTGGTTCAAACCCGACCTCTGTCTCTCGACTTCGTCTGTCTGGGCTTGGGCAAACTGACAGTGTCCCAACCATCGTGCTCCCTTATGGTTGCACGCCAGTTAGGCAGTGAGGGTGCAGCAGCTAAACGATTTTTCTAATTCGTTGACGCCGTCGAAAACTAGCAACGCTTCTGAGACATCAGTGGTCAAAAACCTGAAGATGCCTCACATCATCTGTCCGGAGAGTCCATGTTTCCTCACCATACAACAACACAGCCCTTACTGTAGCCTGGTAAACGCGACCCTTGAGATCCCGTGATATACTCTTTTTGCGCCACAAGTGACGCAAATTAGCAGACGTGATTCAGCCTTTGAGATTCGTGTCTGACTTTATCAGACACATCTGTCAGAGTTAATACAACTACCGAGGTGTGTGAAATTCTTCAAATCTCACAGTGATTCTCCATGAATTGTAAGGGGGTATGGTCAGGGATTGCACGTTATGAACCATGACTTTGCACTCTGGAGGTACTAGGTAGGTACGCAGCACGTGGCCAAGCCAACGCAACCTGTGCAGTGTGATCAGTTCATCTATCGAGGGTGAGTTATTTCTCCCGAATACCATTCGACGTACTTCAGAATTGCTGATCCGGTGTTCCCACCAGA